GCCGTCCCAGCAGGGGTCGGCGGATATGTATTCACTCCTAGACTCCTGAGCCGCTGGACTGCCAACCCGCCTGCAGACCCTAGCTTCCCCGAAGCAGGTGACATTGAAGATCTGGCAGGCGACTTGGGACTCTGCCTACGGTGCCCTAAGCACAAGGGCAAGTTCGGTGGCGGGCTGTACGTGTCCTTTACCACGGGGAAGTGTGCCACTAAGAGCCCATGCAGCCGCTCTGGCAAGGTGGGAATGGGGCGCTGGGGTCTCGGGCTTAGGTTGCCTGTAGGGCTAGGGGGTTCCAAATTGAAGTGTCGAGAAGGATCTAGAATCTACCACTACGGTCGAAAGAAGGGCCGGTATTTAACCCTAAGCCCTAAACCCTAAACCACAAAACAAGGTGGCCAAGTGGACTGTGCCCGTGTACGAGACAAAAGAGGAAGGTGGGGTCGTGTTCATTCGTCAGGCTGAAGAACATGGTCCTGTACGGAACGTGGGGTTGCCAACAGCTGTGACTACGGAGCACGGCGCGCACCTGGCAGCGCAAGTTGTGGTCATTCGTCCTGTGAGTCCAGACAGCAGCATATTTGTGCTGCGGCTACTCAATGACCAAGACCGCGCCGCTTTCATGCGAGAGCCTTCTGCCATGTGGCATATTTGGCTGGCCGTGGGCGGTGTCAGCCGTGAGTACACCCCAATCAGCAGTAGTCTCGACTCCGCAAAGACAGGGACCATTGAGCTAGTCATCAAGGTATACGCGCAAGGCCTCATGTCCGTGCAACTGGCCAATCTCACAGCAGGTGATGTTGTGGCTGTCAGTGAGCCCAGGGTGACACTCCGGGTGCCAGATTTAGAGACTGCATCGCCGCCTGCCGGACTATCCTTCAATCTACTCGCCGGTGGCACCGGCATAGCCCCATGCCTCCAAATGCTTCGTAAAGCCATGGGAGCCAGGGCCACAGTGCGCATGCTGTACTCAATCCGGACACAAAAAGACGCGTTGCTCGAATCTGAGCTGAAAGGCCTGGCAGCAGCCTGGCCAAACTGCAGCTTCTCCTATGCACTCATCCTCACACGGGCAAGTGAGAGCCCGGCTGGCGCGGAGAGGGAGCCAAAGCGATCACGTCGGGCTGGCGCTGTCTGTGGGCGGCGCATCGACGCCGCGATCGTGCGGGAGCACCTGGCGGCCCCCGCAGTAAGCGACGAAGGAACCCTGGACCTGAAAGTAGGATGGCGTTTCCCTAATCCCCCCAGGTACCTACTATATAGGGTACTAGAGCCCCTAGGGCCCTATATAGTAGGTACCTGGGGGTTAGGGCTTTTTTGGAGTTTCAATCGTTACGCGCACATAGGTTGTGTAGGAACCTCAAGCCCTGAACCGCAAGTCCCACACAAAGCCCGAACAAAAAAAACGAGTAACAGATGTTCAGCTAAAGTCTCAGCTCCTAGCAGCCCTTGCGAAGCCCTACAATCGGAGCCTTAGACCATCTATAAAGTCCCTATTTGGTTATGTGTATGCCTATTAAACCTTAAACCCTGAACCCTAAACCCTAAACCCTTCAGGTGCACGCCCGGGTGCAGTCATGACCATCATCACGGGGCCTTCGGGATTCAACGCCTGCTGCGAGGACTCTTTCCAAGACTGCGCTTCAGGGCTTAGGGTTTAGGGCTTAGGGTTTAAGTTTAGGGTTATAGGGCTTAGGGGTTAGGGTTTAGGGTTCTCCCCTCCCGCTGACATGTGTCAGGAGAGTGCTTTCGCAGCTGTAAAGTCTGAGACCCTAAACCCTAAACCCTTTTCGTTCTTCGCTTCTACGAGGATTTGGTGGGCCGCACATTGGCGCCAGCTGAGTCTGGGGAGGTTGTCGTGCTCGACGCATGATGCCGCAATGGCGCCTGGAACTTTTGTCTTAGTGTCTTGCGTAAGGGTACAATCATAGCAAGATGCACAGACCTAGCCGGTCTTTCGCTTCTGAATTGCCGCCTTCAAGGTAGGACTCGCTCTTCGGAAGTGCGGGTTCAACCCCGAGTGCAGTGCCTTTCCAATGTACAGCTCCGGATTGGCACAGTGCCTTTGCTGGGATCTGAAGTGCTCGGGAGCCTGGTCGAACCGTCGCAGTGCAGAAGCGACTTGTCCCGCGCTTCCTTCTGAAAAATAGCCGAGTGGTCATGTTGCTGCGTGGGAAGGTTTCAATCTCCACATGGGACCCTGCTCCTCTTAAAGCAGATTGTTGCGCGTGGAGCATGCATACTTGTAAGACAACGCCCTACCCCCTCTTAAAGCAGACTCTTTGGCGTGGCACATGCATACTTGTAAGATAACACCCTGCCCCCTCTTAAAGCGAATTGCTTTGGGTTGCCTGAAGTTGGACTCAGAGAAAAATAAAACCCCCACCCCCTCTAAAAGCAGATTGCTGCGGCGGTGAGATAGGATAGGTGCATACATGTGAGACAACACCCCACCCCTTTTAAAGCAGATTGTTCTGGGTTGCCTGAAGCTGGAGCCAGAGAAAAATTAGATCCCCACCCCGTCTTAAACAGATTGCTGCGGTTCTTCAAGTTCAATAAAATCACACCCCCTCTTAAAGCAGATTGTTGCGCGGGGAACATGCATACTTGCTTTGGGTTGCTTGAAGTTGGACTCAGTGAAAAATAAAACCCCCGCCCCCTCTTAAAGCAGATTGCTGCGGTTTTTGAAGTGGAACAAAAAGTGTGGAGCATGAATACAAGTGAGATAAGATGCATACACGTAAGATAGCACCCCACCCTTTTTAGGGATTGCTTTGGGCTGCCCGAAGTTGGGCTCTGAGAAAAAGAAAACCCCCATCCCCTCTTAAAGCAGACTGCTGCGGTTCTTCAAATTCAATACGACCACATCCCCTCTTAAATCAGATTGTTGCGCGTGGAACATGCATACTTGTAAGACAACACCCTACTCCCTCTTAAAGCAGATTGCGGCGTCTTTTGAAGTGGACTAGTAAGGTGTGGAGCATGAATACATGTCAGGTAAGATGCGTACATGTAAGATGACACCTCATACCCTCCTAAAGCAGACTCTGGGGCGTGGCGCATGCATAACACCCCACCCCCTCTTAAAGCAGATTGCTTTGGCTTGCCTGAAGTGGGACTCTGCGAAAGATAAAACCCCCGCCCCACACCCCCTTTTAAAGCAGATTGTTGTGCGTGGCACATGCATACTTGTAAGATAACAAACACCCCACCCCCTCTTTACACAGAAAAAGTACCCTGTCTCCGGTTTCTTTTCCCAAGGGACGGGGGAAGCAACGAGGCCCCCCCACCCCTCTCCCCCTGCCCCCTGCCAAAGTGCCAAAGAGCGCCGGAGAGCGCCAACGACCGCCAAAGAACCCCAGAAAGCGCCAAACAACGCCGGAACGCGCAAAGAAAGCGCCGGAGAGTGCCAATGAGGGTCAAAGAACCCGGAAAGGGCCAACAAGTTTAGGGCTTATGGAGTTTGAGGTTTGCGGGCAGCATGATTCAAAGAGCAAAGCCGAGCCGACCTGAACCCATGAGCTTGGATGTGCTGTGAGGCCCCATGAGATCAGTGCCTGCTTTTGGCCGGCCAGGGGACATTGTGGGGACCTCAGCCGAAACGACCTCTTAGTCTAAGCCCAAATCTGGGGACCTTAGCCGAAACGACCTCTTAGTCTAAGCCCCAAACCCCTAAACCCTAAAACCCTTAAACCCTAAACCCTAAAACCCTAAACCCTAAGCCCTAAACCCTAAATGTCCCTAAGTGTCCGAAGGTCGGGGCTCTTCTGGATTGGCCGGAAGATGCGTGTGGTCCGAGCCTTGGATCCGGCAGGGACGGCTCAAATGCAGGCTCTTTGCGGGGTCTGTAAACTAGAATCGCAGAAGCTATGTAGAAAATCTTCCATGCAACAGAAATCTGCCATGAAGGGCTTGATCCATGGATCCAGAAATGAAGACTTTCACAGTTTCTAATTTCAATCTTGTCCGAGGCCCCCGCCTGGCCTTTATGCTGAACGGGAGATTTCTGGGAGTTGCCTTTGACTTCGGGCGCGAAGGCTCGGACGGACTTGGCGCCACAATGCTTTCACCAACTCGATGTGTTGCCTTTTGCAAAGCTGGGTTGAGAGGCATCTCCGCGCCGCCGCTGCAGCCGCACATATGCCAAGGGTGAGCCTGGCCCCGTTTGCAGCATCTGCACACGCTCTCTGCTCCATTTTGCGGGTTTCTGCCAGGAACGGCAAGGCCTTCAGCGTCCTCATGCGGGGTGCTGCGAACCAGGCTTGCTTCCCCAGAAAAGGGAGGCTTTAGGTTCGCACCGTCCAGACCTTACATGAATCCAGCGAGACCTGGAGGCACCCTTGAGATTTCCCATGCGGGGCTTCAGACCACTGGGTCGGATCCTGACGCAGCCGTGGCTTCGTGCGAGTTCCGGTTGGACCTTTCCCCAAGGATCTGTGCTGGAGAGACACTTCTCACCCTTCAGCAAGGCCGTCGAGCTTGCCGGAGGCTTATTGCAGAGCCTACTGCGCCCTGAGACGTCTTGAATCAAGGCGTGAAAGGTGCCTCAGCCCAGGCAACAGCCGCCGATGATTTCGGGGACCGGCAGCTCAAGCCGCGGCTTGCCCAGCGAAAGGGAATGGGGGCTGAAAAAGGGGACAAGCACTAATTAATATTATACTACATTATATCATATTATATCATATCATATTATATTATATTATATTATATTATATTATATTATATTATATTATATTATATTATATACTATATTAAATTATATTATCCCAAAAGTCCTCAATTTCTCACATCAGCGCCCT